CATCGCACATCGAAGAATTTTTTTGAAATGAATGGCTCGTGGAGCCTCTCTGACGCGTTTGCGCGCCAATATTAGCATCGATTTTGATGGACTTGGCGGCCTTTATCGCATTATTCAAGTTTTAATCTATCAGTTTTGAGAAGTATTCTCTTCAAGGAGTTTAGATGCGATGACGAATCACCTCGCCAGACTGCTCAATATTCAACGAACGAAATGTTGTCTGATCGGAAATGATCGAGTGATTTCCAAATGCACTCATACCTTGATCAATGACAGACACTACCAGATGTCAGGCGATCCTTGTTTAAGTGGTGAGATGTTTGCGAATGCGTGTGTTTTTAACAATTGACTTCATCATATGCTTTTGACAAAGTCACAAACAAACGTTCTTTGTCAAATTGTAAAATAGTCGATGGTTGGTGAAAAACTTAGTCTCAAGTTTGGTGGTCTATTGTGCATGTTTGTACTACATCCTACGTAGTAGTACTGTATGTGACTGTACAGTACAACCACAATATACATCCGATATCGATATACTGGTTAGTACAGTATATCAAATATCGTACTGGCGTTGCGATATCGATATGATATTGCACCATTGCGTTCGATACGATATTATGTCGAGATAGCTTTTCGATAACGTTAAGCGATTATTCTTTTCTAAATATAGGTACGATAAGATATCAAATTCAATAAAAGAAAAAGATAAATCTTCGATGAAGCTTTCCCAAACGCCGCATGCAGGCCGCGTACAGGCCGCGTTTACGACCGCCATGTTGCGCGAAGGCTTGGTTATGACGGATATTGAGGTGAACGCGGGCAACACAGTGGTGGGGTTGAAAGGGGTTGGTATTAAGGTGCTCAGTTAATGGGAAATTCCAACGTGAACACATGCCTCTGCTTCATCGCACCAACCTAATGAACTATCGCTAGTTATGATGTCACGTGACACAGACGAGTGCCAAATGGAGAACAGCCAATCCTTGAATAATATAGGCCTATTTCATGCAGAACACTCAAGAGACGTCTACAGACGATGCTGGCCGCTCCTTCCAATGTCGTGACCTAATGCAATCGACACTACGGATGTATTACTTTGTTTATCAGTACCAGTATGAGATCCATCCGGAATAATGCACGGATAAGATTGAATTAACGTTAACACTGATACAACGGCTGACAGAATGTCGCCGCGCCCTACGCGAGTGGCCTCGGTCGCTCGCAAGTCAACAGTGAACAAGACAGTGAACAAGTTCTACGTCCATTCAGAGGATCCAGTTCCCAGCCGAAGCATCCGTTCGCTCCGCATCGGCCCCTTCAACTCCTGCTCCCTGACCTCCCAACTTCACAGCCGCCTCCAGTCCTACTGGGCCCACACCGATCGCATCGCCATCCTCAAAGCAACCTGGCGATGCGATTAATGTGGGCCCAGTAGGACTTGTGAGCGGTCGAGGCCACTCGTGTAAGGCGCGGCGACATTCGGCGCCAGCCATCGTAGGAAGGAAGGAATTTACGGTTACGCGTAGCTCTACATGTCCTAGAGGGTTAACCCTATAGACCTCGCGAGTTGCTTTTGAATTTTTTATAACGAAAAACAAAAAGTGAAAAGCAGTACTACGTAGTATTTTTTACGAAAATCCTATACTACCCGTAGTAAGTCAATACGTACAGTATTAATAAATGTATACGTATTGACTCCCCTAATGGATTTGGTGAATGAGCATACAAATCCAAACTTTGGCTGAAAGGACAATAACGTTACCGGTACCTGCCAAGCACTTTCACCGCGTCGGAGGCGAAATGGTGTGAAATGGTGGCATTCCCCCATAGCACAGTACTGTACACGGTATACCGGTACCGGTATCTGTCAAGTCTGACGTGCTGACTTTCACATTTTGATTTCCATCATACTTCGAGGTACTATTATAGCATCAGTATTATTGCCGACGTACAATACGGTACACTAACGCACTACTGACATTCAACACAATCCTCGATAGGCCTCCTAGTAGTGTTAGCTAGTAGATTCATGGATCTCCCTATCGAAAGTAGAGAGTGGTTGATTCCAAGACAAATTCGAGAGAGGTGTGCTTTCTTCTTCCGTGTCAGTGGCCAACTTACCACTTTTCACTCTGTAACATTATAATGCAATCAATCACGAAGGTTATGCATCCTATGAATAGATAGAGTATATGCTTTTGGAAAGGATGCGTGATTTGATTGGCTCATGGGTTTTTCATGCGTGCAGCCTCCACACTTCCGCCTTTGCCGCCGCTGCGATGGTAGTGACGTCCACGCCGAATGCCACGTATGTGTACCCATCCAGCTACCAAGAGAAGAACAGTGCTACGCAAGCGACGGTGTTGTCTTTGAATCGCTACCTCGTCCTTGGGCTGGCCGGACTGATCCTGCTGGCGTTTTTCACCGTGCTCATCGGCCTCGGCACCAAGAGACCCACGTGGTGGTATGCCACCCTCACACGGTGGTTCAACATTACAGACCACGATACAACGTCCAACTTGCTCGTGATTTCTGGTCAAAATAACGGACGGTCGCACCGCCCGCAGCAGACATCGAGTAACCCCCTGACCATGCGCCTCGACGCGTGGCGAACGTTTCAAGAAGAGAAGCACGTGCCCCCACCACATATCGACGAACTGCGGCACCTCCACTACCTGCCACCACCGGTGACAGAGACCCTCGACCACCACACCATGAATGCCGCCGCAGCGAACAAGTCCACGACGGCAACGAGCATTGTATAGCTTCGTGATGCGCTTATTTATACAGTACCCATCAACGCTACTTGGACGTGTATAGTGAGTGCAGCTTGTTTGTAATGACCATTATTATGCCTAGCATCGTTTTACGTGGATTGCCTAACAATGAGCTCTCAAACGACGAGTCACAAGCACCGCTCATTTGATTGAACATTGGATGCAAACAGTATGTACTACAGTACTGCTGGTAGTACTACAGTACACTACTACTAGTACGTACGTACTAGGAGTACTATACTGTAGTAGCGTCCTTTCAGCCAAAACTAGCGAGTTTTGCGCTGATCCGCCGATTCCATCGATCGATCTATAAAACTGTGAAGTCCTGAATTTCAATCAACCACTAGTTGGATGTTGAAGTGTATTTGATTGGCTACTGATTTGTGTTGTGGGTTTTGATTGGTCGATCGATTACCCGTCGATTTCGTGCTGCAGCTCGCACACCCCAATAAAATCGAATCAACTTGACAATATTGATTAATCCTTTTAGTGTCACACTAGTTTACTGTTAAGTCACACACTGCAAAATTCTGCGTTGGTCAAAGAGTGGATTTGATTGGCTACTTGATACGTTTTGATTGGTCGTACATCGATTGTCTGTCGATTTGGTTTTTCCGCTCATTCAATCGAGCACCCCACTCCAATTGACACTATTAGAAGTACTGTAGCTATTGTGAATAGTACAACAACTACTAGTACTACTACTCCTTTGTCGGCCTTGCAGCCCCAACTTACGGCAGCACTACGCGGCGGGGGTGGCTGGCGGCATCCAAAAGATCGTGTTGGCGTGGACACTAGCAATCAAATGGCGCTGGGGGTTCCACTGCACATCCATGACGGGCCCAATGTGCCCGGGCTTGGCCGCCGCCGTCACGGCGCCCGTGTTGGCGTTGTAAATGGTCATACTGCCGTCGTCCGCCCCTACAACACATAAGTACATATAAAACCATCCAAACCAGTCGCACTAGAATGCCATCAACATATATGGTTGTGTTTATTCTAAACTGGAGCGATATGGAGAGTGAATCGACACAACCAAATGTACTGAAGTTACAAGGATTTAGCCAACCACATACATACACTGCAGGAAACCACCATCAACGTCAAATTAGTGTGATATCAAATACCTTTTTACAAATATTCAAAATGCAGTACAAAGAATCGATCGATAGATTTGGCGATTCAGTCCAAAAGTCCAAATTTAGGGCCAATGGACACCATATCAAAGCCATGTATGTTGTCAAGTCGATTCAACATTATTAGAGTGGGGGGCTGCTCTCAATCGAACAATTTCGGCCAACAATCAATCGACCAATCAAAACCCCAGTACACGACTCACGTGACCAATCAAATTCTCGCATCAACCCTTCAACATCGAATCTCATACTAGTACAGTCTATTTTCTACAAAATACGCAGTACGACTAAACAATCGATCGATGGAATTTGGCGAATCAGCATACACAAATATCCAAGTGGTAGTGAAAGGACATTTCAAGTGGGTGCCATACTAGACATCATGTCATAGAGAATCGATCGACCAAGGACGGTGCTCTTACCACATGCAATGTAAGCGCCATCGGGTGAATAGCTCGCGCCTAGCTTCTTGCCCGTGGAGTTGCTATGGCTCGCGAAAATGCGCGTCTAATATGGCAATCACCCCAGTTAGACATCAAGAACGACGAACCTAGTATATTCCTAGACGACATCGAACAGAAGCAAACGTTATTGTCAAATCGATTCGAAAACGGCAAAATCGAATGTCTGAAGAGAATGAATTCTAACGAACCGCCTAAGCCAATCAAATCACGTTCGATCGAATTTCTGCCAATCGAAAGTTTTGATTCAGCCCAGTCATATCACATTGGGCAAAACCATATATTGTGGATTCGGTACAAATTCCCAGACCCCGCCGAATCGAATGTCGCTGCCGAATCGAATCACGAATCGACTCTATTGGCTAATCCAATTTTTATTGGATTTGATTGGCTTTTACAAGTATGTTTTCAACCAATCAGAACTCCAGCGTGATTCGATATTAAGTAGACAAACCCCACGAATTTTGGATGTTCACAGTGAATTCACAATACTTCGTTACACACTTCATATTTGTATCGTATAGTTGTACAAGCGTAAATGCGATCATGTGGCTTCGAATACTAACTACATTTGGCAAAATGACCGACAGGTCCAAATTCGGGTGAAATGCTCAATAATATTGTGCTTTTCAGTCAAATTTGCCTATTTTGGGGGATTGGTGAAATCGCCAACTAATCGAGCAAAGGAGCAAAGAATGAAGGTTGCAATATGATTGGCTACAAAGAATACAAGTTGCAATATGATTGGCTAAAAAGATTGATTGTAGTATTGCAGTCACAAAGATACCCCTTCAACTTCGTTTTATGTGAAATTTCGAAGATCCGGTGATTTTTCGGCGGTTCATTCACCCAACCGCGGGAGGAATTTCGAGTCCAACACAAAATATGTATTATGAAGAAAAGGTGCTAAAGACAACAAACGAATATACGGGGAAAACGGGAACGAGATCCTAAAGTTTGGAACAGAGATGATGGAGAAACATACCCAATCCATCAAGGGCAATAGGAACCATTGGGAGAGACAATTTGGGAAAATCACCAACGACAACCAGGAAAAACCATCCTCGAAACAAAATGGGGAATATGCCCAGAACAACCCAATCCAAGACACGCAATCAGTATGACAAATGGGGAAAATCACCAACGAACGATAGATCGTACGAGTTTGCCTTCGAACGCGTCGAGCTGTACGAGCAACCCGGCGTTCGTGTTGAGCAGGATGTGCTGCTGGTCCGGACTGAACTGTATCGCATGGACGTCGAGCTTGGCTTTGAACTGCCGCGACTGAAGCAGCGGCCGCAGTGCCAACTCGATGCTTTCTTCATGGAGGGAAAACTTGGCAAAAGGTCCTGTAAATGACGACATGTTACTGATGCAAGAAGGGGACGACGTCGATGATCGTGTCAACGAAGGAGAGAAACCGACCGTCGTTGTAGTTGCGCGCGTCGTACATGCGGACGAGGGAGTCGCCGGTGTACACGCCAAACACAAGGCCGTCCGAGTCGTACGCGGCAGAGATCGCGGTGTTGTTCTCGCCGCAGTTGAGCAAGCCCTACGATGATGATGATAGTATGTCATGGGATGATGGTTCGCGGAACGACATACCGTGGCGGTTTTGACGCGGATGTCCCACATGCGGAACGTCGAGTCCATGGATGCGGTGAGGAATTCGTCGGCGGTCGGATGCATCATGAGCGACGTGACCCTAAGAGAGATGATGACGGGGCATCGAGTGATGAAGGAAGAGCGGGATGGACTGCCGTCGTACTTCTTGGTGTGGCCGGAAAAGTAGCGCAGAAACTTGTTGTCGTACACCGAGTGGTATCGAATCGCGTGGTCGTCGAAGTCGTTCTGGGACGACCAGATCATGCAGTCCGGGTGGTGGGTGAAACGGACAATTTCGGCGCCGTATTGTTTGGTATGAATGTTCTTGTTCAACCTGCAAACATGGGCATTGAGGCATGGAAACCCGATGGGCTGTGGGTGTGACGACGTACATGCCGGTGGTGCAGTTGATGTGAGAGACCACTCCTCTCCGAGCGGTCGCGCAGTAACCCCCCGTACGGTGGAAGTCCACAGACGTCGTCAAGACATCCTCCTCCCCCGGGAAGACTCTGGCAATCCCATAGCTTTGGACCACTGCATCCGAGAGTACTAGGGCCATGTTGTTGATGGTGGGCTGCTTCAGGAATATTGTGATGATTAAAACGCGTTTATACTACGTAGTATTAATTAATATTTTTTAATATCTCTTGAAATGCCATTTGAATGCTTTACTGTTAACATTTTAAAAAAGAACAACCAAAAGGTGTTGTTTAAACGTGTTCCTCATTTCGGATAGCGCAACCGAATCCGCCAACTGCCAAGTATGGAAGCACTGCAACCGGCCCTGATCGCGCGTCCAACCGCGCGATGTCTGCCGAGCGCGGCGACGCTGGCGGCGTCTCTGCCGAAGATTCACATGTCACATGAAGAGAAAGAACGAATTCAGTCGATACAACATCAGTCCTTCCGACGACTCCAAGAAAACCACGTCAGATGCGCTCAAATCCTTCACGGCACAATGCAATGGCGCGCCGTGGAGTTCATGGATGCGAACGAAGAATCAGCATGCTTGAACCAACAAGAAGTCTTGCGACGGGACATTAAAGCGTTGGAAAGTGCGAATGCCAAGCTCGTGGCCGCCCACAAGGCGGCAACCGCGGCCTCAGCCGATCGTCGGTCCAAGCGACCTCGCGAACCCGAGACATCCCCTTCGAAGCGCCTCAAAATGCTGACGTCTCTGTAACCCACCAACCTATTTCTTCGTCCTTGCATGTACCATTCGTGGTGTGATGGGTCCACCGAAGCCAAATCTTCTTCGTCAATAGCACAATCGCCAACCGATTGAACAACCCTTCAGAGCGTCCTTGTCCTGAGCATCAACAAACCTTCCTTCCATACGTTCATGGGACTTTGTCCACCGTTCATCTACTTTCTTCTTTCATAGGGCCTTCTACGTTGTCCATCATCGCTAGCTACGGCATTCCCGCTCATGAGCAGGGAGAACTTGAACAGTTCGCAAACAGTAATTATTACGAAGAAAAACAAGTAATTTATTTCCATGTACTTGAATGTTGTAGGGAATACCCTATTATTATAGATATTTAAAACAAATTCTAATCAAATTCTGCACTCATGTACGCAATCCACGGCAGGTTGTCCGACTTGCCCTTGAACAGTGTGTCTGTACTATTAGGGCTTCCGCTGCCGCCAAAGTAACCTTCAAGATCACGTTGACCTCCGACCCAAAGCTTCCCTTCCGTGTGTGCGTCCATGTGCCTATATACGAGTACGCTTATACACATCCCCCTGGTAGGATGAGCGCGCCGGAGGAAGCGCCATTCACCGCCGTGCTCAAGTATGTCGCCGAAGAGTTCCGAGTGCCTTCTTCTACAAGTGCCATTATCACGAACGGTATCGCCATCATGTGGATGAGCCATGTGACGATCTTCACGTAGATGGCATGGGGATCAATCCATCCCAAAGCGCGGGGAATGTGTTTTTGAAACACGGGAGCGACCTGCGCCTCATCCCTCGCGACCGCGTTGGCGGAAGCAAGTCACCTGCGCTGTATTAACTGCTCGCGCAGATTCGTTCAATATGTATATATTCATTCCGATTGTGGTTCCTAATCCAAGGACACGACAAAACTGGACGCATAGATAGTATGGCCACATTCTGTTCACATTTACTACTTTGCTATCAGCACATCGTAAGGATGCCCGTGCGTTGCGCACTCTATGTCGATGCTTCCTCCAGTGTTTTAGAGTCCCTTGTTGTAGTACAACTCGGTGGTTTCCGGGAACCGCTTTCGAATGATCTCTTGCAGTTCGGGTTCGAGGGAAGTAGTCCCGATGGCGCTCTTTTGAGGAAACAGCGCGCAGCACAAAGGCGTCGAGAAACTCAATGCCGCCCCTAGACAAAGCACGATGGTTGGTCGGTATCTGCATCCCCCCTCTTATCAACGTCGAGAATGGAAAAGTACCTGTGAGAAGCACCATGAGCGGTGCCGACAAGGCCGGCATGCGCTTCAACGGCCCCTTTTCCAAACTCGCAATGACCAAGGGAGGAATGACCATCCCTGGTACAGCCATCAGGATGCGCGACGGCACGACTTGGAGTACCGCGGACTGCGCCGCCGCTTGACTCTTGCCCACCACATCACCATCTACATTATATATATATGATTCACGGAACAAAACCTATATATGAAACCGTCACACCATACTGTTATCACAAATGGAAAGAAGACACTTTTATCCGTCGAAATGACGGTTCAACCGTGGAAAAAACAGTTGCAACCGTGGAAAAGACAACTCCACCACCCGAAAAACATTACACCAGGAAATTGTGGTTTTGACATGTCTCGAAGGCGACACATATGATCGATGATCGTACCAGCGGTTTCAACTGCAATGCCATGCAACAGTTCTTGCTGGCGCATCATGGGGATGTTCACCCAGTTCGCGGCGGCCACGGCCATGAGAGGCACAAGGCGGCCGACGATGCCGCCGCTGAGGGACGGGCGGGACGCGATGAACTTGTTGAGCCCGACGGCGGTCGCGACCGACATGGTGGACGCCGCGGCATACGCTTGCAGCAGTTGGTCGGTAGTGACCCCGGTGCTGGCATTGCGGTTGGTGTAGTTGACGATCGAGTTGAACGTTTGGTTCATAAACTACACGGACACGTTATAACCAGGCAAGAACGAAGGAAGGGTGATGGAGGTCAGGTCATTCGGTCGAGATGTGTGAGAATGGGGTTACTCGTTACCTGCCAAAAAACAACTGCAGGAGTGGATCGATAGAATGCCATCATACACCCCGTGATGACCATGTTTCCAGGCACTTGGAACGACATGCGACCCATGATAAAGTTCTTCTCGCCAGTGTCTGGGTGAAACGCCGAGTCATACAGGTGCTTCGCGGCCCATACTTGTTCAGGGGTCGTGCCTGCAGGTTCCGCGCCGCCTCTAATGAGCGGACATGGCCAGTAGTGGATACATAAGAAGCACAGGAGGTGATGGTTTGTACTGGTATTGCTGTACGAGGGCTTTCGCGGCGTCCAGCTGCTCGTCGGTGGCGAGGACGTTGATGGGGTTGGTCGTGGTAAAGAAGTGCCGGGCGCGGCCTTCAAACGTGCTTTGGTCCCATCGCGGAGCGTCCAAATTGAGGCGAGCTGCGACCATCACCGAGATGCTGTGGTTGTTGAGGTGTAGTGACTGGCCGACCGACGACTTGTAGATCACCAGAAATGTTTTGTGCAACAGCGCATCCGGTTAAAAGTTGTATCCGTACGAAATATCGTAATTTCATCCAATCATCGTGCTGTTTGTGGCATATTTAGCCAATTGAAAGGACGAACTATTGGGTACTGTACGTTACCTTCCTATTTGCACCATGACAAATACAACCTGTGAAATCTGGAAAAAACTGGGTCTTTTTGACCCCCAGCTTGGGCCTCCCCATACAATGCCCCTTGCCCTCCCTTCGTTCAGAGGTTAAGCGTATTATGCACGCCTTTAATCCTGCTTTTCCTTCCAAGGATACTTCGTTATCATCGTACACAGTAGGGAGATTTCAGAGATGACTTCTCTTTTTCTTTTTCCGTAAAAATTAAAAGCTGAGTACTTCCTCTGTTCCACGTTTCTGCCGACATTAGACCTCTAGATCATATATTCATGTTTTGACCATTAATTGTACATTTTACACGAATTATTATGAATTCATGGAGGGATTTTTCTGACTGATCAGTCATCAAGATAATAATTTGAAACTCTATCATTTGTCAAACGTCCACTACAAGAGAAATGATTGGATCTTTTAGTGGATGGTTAGTCAAGCATCAACCAATCAATGTTTTTGGAAATCACTCAGTCCTTTCCATGAGCACAGACTCGTTCATTGACCAATCACTAAACACACACAAACTTGCACATCAGAGCAGCCCTGAACAAACCATAAACACAATCAAAAGTACCACTATGGCACGCAGAGCGAGTCTTCAAGGCTCGCAGGCTGCCCCGCCACTAGCCTCACGCAACATCAGCCAAGGTCTAGCTCTGCTTACCAACCTCGACCAGCAACGCCAAGCCAAGAGAGCACGATACTCAACCGTACGCGCGGAAGAACCCGATAAAAACCTTGACTCCACAAGCCCAATCTACGACGCCTTCGTCGACAACCAAGGACCTGATGGTATTCTGACAATGACCAACTTCAGCCCGTCTGAGTTCAACATCTTGTGGGCGGACATACGGCAATACCTTTCGAAGCATTGGAACACTGGTTCGGGGCGCAAATTCGAGGTCACTGGCCGTGACTTACTGCTGATGATGTTGACGTCACTTAAGCACTGTGGCTCATGGGATATCGTTGCCGCTGTGTTCAAACAAAAGTGTGCTACCTTTCAATAGCGTGTGTTGACAATATTGGGGTTCTGCATCCCTTTTTCATGCGCAAATACGTTGCCGTTCCTGCCGAACAAATGGACGATGTCGCAGCTAGCTGCCAACGGGGATCGCTTCACCAATTATCCCTATGCTCGCTATGCAACGGACGTGACCTTTCAACAAACGAATCCTGCCGGAAGCTATGCTGAGAAGAAGTCGTATTACAGTGGCAAACACTCGCTCTATGGACATAAGGTGGAAGTGTCGGTGCTTCCGAACGGGCTTGCAATCAATTGCACCAAGTCCATTTTCGACGACAACTTGGAATTCCACGCGAATGACCTTGCCAAACAAGGCGACGACGACCGCCTGGATGATCCTGCGCGAGTTGGTGGGGCACGTCAATGGGCGGTCCTTGTGGACAAAGGCTACCAAGGGATACAAAGAGAAGTTCGCGCGGTGCTTCCTACCAAGAAGCCAATTGGAGGCGTGCTGACGGCTGACGAATTACGTACCAACGACCGGATTGCC